ACTGTCTGTTATCTGTTGTATGTCCATGTAACTAATTCGCAGGGTTTAAATGGATCTTCACCAAAATTGGTATGGAGGTTCATTAGGTCCATGCGGGGGTACATACAAATTTTCAGTTTTGCATTTTTCGTTTTGCGGTTTTTATGGGCGATTTTTGCGTTGTTTGCCATTACTTCGCCCTGTTGATAAATCTTCACCAAATTTGGCATGAAGGTTTGTTGGATCCATGCAAATATACATGCAAATTTTCGGCTTCCCCTTTTCTGTTTTGCGGTTTTTATGGGAGTTCTTTGCGTTTTTTGTACAATGACATATAATTGAAGCAACTTTTGATGTCATAAAATAACCTTTCTTTAATCATGAATTTACATAACTTCCGTCAAGGGAACGGATACTCCAGCTAGTTCTGAGTTTGAGTTGTACGAAATGCACTTTGGGGATAAGAGCTTGTTTTGTTGAATTTCGCGCAAAGCTTTCGAGGGCTATCTGCGCTAGCCCTCCCTAATTTAAAAGTACTTAACCAGAGGGAAGACAGTTAGTCAACATCATACTACACAGTCAAACTCTTGAAATACTCTCTGTCAACGAATAGAAGGATGAACCGTCACATTACAACGCTCCCACGGCTGAAGAGGCGGCCATTTTCGCTGACGAGATTCGAACCCACGACCCCCGATTGCGATTAGAGTGCCCTAACCAATTTGAGAGTGACCAGATGAAGAGTAGGAGAGTAGTTCTTTATTAATCGATGTTATTTCTCATCCATTAATGATGCGGAATGATTTCAAGAATAAATATTTATTTACATTTAAAAAGAAGTATTAAATATTTTTAAGTGAAAAAACAAAAACAAAAACGATAAGTGAAAAGAGACCCCAGGAACGGGATCTCTGGCCAATAAGGTCAATGTTTTTCCACTGAACAATCCAAGAGTACTTACTAGTCGTCCCCCCAGTTTTCTGTTTATTTTGTTCTAAGAGTTTAATCATCATACTACGTTATAATATGTACAAAGACTAAATTATATGTAGTCTATCACAGACTTACATTTATTTTTAAATCCGCTAGGCCCCAGTGAAATAGTAATATTATTATATCGTAATAATTAATATTATGTATTTCAAGTAAAAAAAAAAAAAACAATAGGCGAAAAGATATTTCATAACTGAGATAGCTCGGTGATAGAGCACTTTTCTTGTCTCTGAGTCTCTTTTCATTTGTCGGTTTCTTCACTTAAAAGTATATAATATTAATTATTACAATATAATAATATAACTATTTCACTGGTTTGTAACAGGTTTTAAAAAGTGTAGGTAACTGTCCCAGTTAAGTAGATATCAAATGAATCATTTTCTTCATGCCGCTGGTACTAGGATTAGTATATATTTGAGAAAGATAAAATAAGGATTTTCTGGTTCTATGTGGTAGGTGCTCGCTTTGAAATTGTGCATTTCAGCGTTCGCTGCTGTACTCGATGTGCTCACGTTTTGCAGTTGCTTCCCTTAGCGGCGAAATACAGGTTCTTTTGAAAGCCATTTTAAAGCAGATTTCACAATTTTGACAATCAAATTTTGCAAGAGTGTGCACAATGAACATTCCTCTTCATATTTATACCACTGAGAAAGAAAAAACTATTTGCACCGGTTTTTTAAATTGCAGAAAAAAATTGAGGTACTGAAAATGTTCATGTTTTCTTTTAAAAACGTCACGTGGTTCTAGAATAAAAAACAGATAAAGTTGGAAAAATTTGCAAGCATGTTTTATAGGTGGATAATATTTCTGATAAACCGAAATATTTACTATTTTTAATTAAGAAGAAGAAGTGTAATATGAATGTTATGCATGATGAGCAAACTATGTTAACAGAAAAGATACAGTAGTTCCATTTCATCTTCTCCTATATATGTTTTTGGCTACAAAACTATCGTTTTGTTTCATAACTATAAAAGCATCCATTGTATACACTCCTCAGCAATAGATGGAACTAAACGTGGACGAATGGTTAGTGTTACTGACTGAGAACTCACAGATTCATAGTTCGCATCTAGTTTCAGTAAAATCTTTCTCCACAATTTGGAGCTATAACCAAAAGTTGGCGGTGGGTGCGTGCTGTTGACTAGTTGTCTTTCTTCTGGTCTATTAATTCAAAATTAGTGACTGCTAGTCCTTATATAACTTTGTGTGAATACGCAAAACAAACAAATAAAGCCAATAGATGTATTTCGCGAACACAACAATGCTCTGGATGTTCCTATACATTGAAACCGTCTCATACATGGCTGTATTAAGCTTAGTTTCGAATTCTTGGTCAACATATTTATATTCTCATTACAGCGATGAAATGTTGAAATTCATGAGTTAATTGATTATTTGTGTATTTGTATACCTGAGATATGATCTTGAAATTTAAAAGCGTGAAATCTACAATAGAAATATGTTGAGAACTCTTCAGAATTACGTTATGTTTCCCCATCAAGGTTTTTTAAGCTGATTGAAGTTTATGATCACTTTTTATAAACAAACATTTGTGACTGGAAAAAATACTGCGGAAAAAATTTTCGCTGTAAAAAACTAATATATTTTTTAAAATTTGAGTTATATCTTACGCCGCTTTCGAAAACTGGAGATACGTAAAGAGTCAATAATTTAGGCCAAAGGAATAAAGTACTTTGACTCTCTGTCAAAACAACAAAGAAAAACCATTCAAACAGAGTTTCGTTTAACAGAAATACCTGTACCATGCATGCATAGGAGGAAAAAATTAATGCAGCCAAACATACATGTAAATGAAACTTAAACCTTTACCACTTGAACTTCAATTTTTTAACTATGAAGCGAATGCGTCATTCACTGCAATAGAACACTATTGAATCCCGACGAAAATAAGAACGCTTTTATTATATACAGCTTTTCTCAAGTGTATTAGTTCAGTATATGTAAACTCTTGTTTCATACTTTATCGAAATCTGCTCACAATCCACTAATTCAATTTTTCCTTAAAATAGTCCACTAACAATTTAATATCTTTGACTACGTTTAAAAAGTAAACTTTTCGTAATATATATATAAACAGATTGCTTTTGGATAAACAAAAAAGGGTACGGCATATTTAACGAAAACTGAAAAAATGTTTTAGTTGATAAAAAACAACTATAAGAGGAAAACAGTTTCATGTTATCTGTTATTAAATATATTTATCTAATATTTTTTATCTGTTTATTTAATCTTAAGGTTTAAATTTCTTCGAAGGAGCTAATCCTTTACGTGAAAGAAAGGAAAATCAAGCTGTTGTTAAAGGATTTTCCTATTGGTTCATTCGTTTTTAATTACGCAGAAAGCTACACAAGGGCTATCTGTGCTCTGCCCACCACGAGTATCGAAACCAGGTTTCTAGCGTTGTAAGTCCGCAGACATACCTCTGTGCTACTGGGGGGGGGGGCTCCTATTAGTTCATAACATGCCATATTCCAACTATCGCGAATCAATTTGTACCCACGGTTTCAATCGAGTGTGTTTTGTTCTACTATAAGAAACTAGATATAAGCTATAAAACGCATTGAACGTATATGGTTTTTACTACAGTTAGTTCAGTAAATGACAATCTACTCAAAATGTTTGACTTTCTTCTTATGTTTTTGTTAAGTGTAAGACAATTTTGTATTATTTTCGGTCTAGTGTATTCTATCAAATAAATAATTTAAAGTCTGAGTAGAACCAAAACTTTGACTAAGAAATTTTCAGCATAAGAAAATTTATACCTCAAGTAATATATTTTTTGTCTATCTTTAAACAGAAGTTTGTGCCCCCCAGTAGCACAGCGGCATGTCTGCGGACTTACAACGCTATAAACCTGGTTTCGATACCCGTGGTGGGCAGAGCACAAATAACCCTTTGTGTAGCTTTGTGCTTAACTTCAAATAAACAAACAGAAGTTTGTTAAATTAAAAAAAAAACAACACTAAGGGACACACACACACACACACACACAGAGAATAAAAAAAGAAAAACGTCGCCGGACGATTACTAACTCGATAGACGAATGGAAACGTTCTCACAACTTGGTTTTACTTGTCTTCTTTTTTTGTCCACGTTTGGCTGCTTTCTATACCCTTAATTGAACTTTGATGGAAAAAATAACTGCTCTTCTGGTAGTTTTTTTAAAATATAACCTTAGAGTGTAAAATTCGTAACAGTCTAGATATGTCGTACAAAACATAAAGTGGAAATTGTGTAGTGTGCGATTTCAAGGACATGAGAATCAACTAACAAACAACACATGCATGGTGGGAACAAAGAGCTTCGTTGATTTTCAAGTCCTTATAACTTTATCTTGTTTTGGCGCTTCTAACATGTGAATCATTTGGCTTTATATTAATGTATCAAAGCTGATCAATGTTTTTAATGTCAGATCCTAACTTTTACAATTTAATTATAAATCTGACATACACCCGCACGTACGATATAAATCATTGTCGAAAATGAAATGAAAAAAGAAATATGTATAAAGTGTTTTGTTTGTTTGTTTTAAATTTCGCGCAAAGCTACACGAGGGCTATCTGCAGTAGCCGTCCCTAATTTATCAGTGTAAGACTAGAGGGAAGGCAGCTAGTCATCGCCACCCACCACCAACTCTTGGGCTACTCTTTTACCAACGAATAGTGGGATTGACCGTCACTTATAACGCTCTCACGGCTAAAAGGGTGAGCATGTTTGGTGGGACGGGGATCCGAACCCGCGACCCTCAGATTGCGAGTTAAGCACCGTAACCACCTGGCCATGCCACACCTATGTATAAATAAAACTATATTCTTGTACATATTCAAAGGGGAAGCCAAGAACTTCAATAGAATCGTCCCTATTTTGACTGAAAATATGCAATGTCAAAAAGTTATATCCTTAACATAAAAAAATGGATATAACACATACTACAGTAATACAAGATGCTTAAGAAAGCTACAGATTGTATCTCGGATTGACTTAAGGCTCTCAGTTTTCTTAGACTCTGAGTGGTTCCACTGACACCATGCTGTAATGACCTTCGTTGCATGTGCTCGGAATAAGTTGAAACTACACAGTACCTATCTTATAGAAGAGATTCTCTGTTCAACAACAAGTCTAATAAGATGTTTGTAACAAAACAATTCACTTCTGCAAAACTCTGATTTCGAAATAGTTAAATTCAAAAATCAAGAGATTCTGTTTGTGAGTATTTGGTTATATATATATTAAATAAAAGTATGTACGTAGCATAGATGTATGCGTTTAGGTATACGCCATTCAGATGCATAATTTATTGCATTAAATCCGAATCTATAAAATTAAGAAAATAATTATGTTCGTGAAACTTGCTTATTCTCTACTGCTATTCTTAGATTTATGGTGGTTAGGGTGTTCGACTCACAATCTGAGGGTTACGAGTTCGAATGTTCATCACCGAACATGCTCGTCCTACGTAGGTTGCCAACTGGGCCAGCCACCCGAGTGTAAAAACTCTTGGCTTACAAAAATACAGGGCGACCCCAAACTAGTCGGGATTAAAGTCGTAACGAGGGGATGGGGTGGGGAGTTATTGCTTAGACTGAATCTAGAATGAGATGGATGCTGCCATCTTCAACATTCATGGCACCCTCTTTGTTCTTTTAGTTCCCAGAAGGCGAAAGAAGATCATCCCTTCCCCAATGTCAGTTCATGATGTTTCTCGAACACAACCGCAACATTCGACTTGTTTAAAAGAAGTTATATATCATTTTCAACCAGGAAGTATAATGTAAATTAAACTTTAATATGTGTTAAGAAACCGAATATTGCTTTATTGATATATTATTAAATAGAAGAGAAACGATCTCACTTTATTTCATTGTTTACCGAATACTGAGTTGAGATTAATCACAAGAAGTGAAACGATTAATCATTGAATTAATCTTACCAGGATATATAAAATTCAGAAAATACAGAATCGTGTCTGCTATGTATGTTAGGACTTGCCGTAAGGTAAACTTGCATCATTTGATCTTACCATAAATTTAACAAGTCCTATTATTGCTAGGGATTTTATAAGCCATTTTTCTAAGATGTTAAGTGGATTCTACTACCATTTTTATATATACTAACATTCTTTGCTATGAATTCTATACTTTTTTTTTGCATACCTGACCCTGTAGCAACAGCAAATGCGGTCACGATTTCCATTTTCTCATATTATATTGTAGGTTTGGATTCCTATAGAAAGCTGAAACACCGAAAAAGAATAGAGATTACATACCTGGTAACCTATGAAGAATAAGGATTCCACACCTGTTAATACAACATTACTACTGTCATTTGTAAATTGAACATTTTTCATATTATATTGTAGGTTTGGGTTTCTATAGAAAGCTGAAACACCGAAAAAGAATAGAGATTACACACCTGGTAACCTATGAAGAATAAAGATTCCACACCCGTTAATACAACATTACTGCTGCCATTTGTAAATGGAACATTTTCCTGTTTTTTTCTTTAACGTTACGTGTCTGCAGGTACGTATTTATGTTTATATGTGTGTCTATATGTTTAATGTGTGTGTGTGTATCTATATGAACACCGCTGTGAGATCTAGACGTCAATAGTTATCTGTAAAAAAAAATAATAATCATGGTTTTGAATTGTTTCAAATAAACCCATTAAAGTAGCTATTTGGAAGTAGAAGCAGTTCGTTGCCCTTCTTGTATATTCCTGAGGTATTTTATTTCAACATGTGTTTAATAAATTAAGATGAATCTAAGATGAAAATATTTGGTTTTTAAATCACAGTTTTCTGGTCCTCATGAACATCTATTTTTCTATTGTGCAGAGCGTAATTCTGTTTCAATCGGACACGAACCATAGGCGCTTGGATTCACAATCCAACTCGCTAACCTCTAAATAATAACCGGCAAAGTTATCAGCAAAGTGTTTGTTTGTAGTTACGCACAAAGATGCACAATGGGTTATCTGTGCTCTGCCCACCACTGGTATCGAAACCCGGTTTCTAGCGTTGTAAGTCCCACTTATAAGCAAATGAACACAATTTTTTACAGAAAAGGGGAGAGTTATTTGAACTATGTATACAAAAGATCTACAAATATCTAAATGAAATTATTTTTATTCATACTTGTGAAAACAGATTTCATAAGTCATACCAGAATATTAAGTTGCATTACACCTCCAAATTTCTTCCAGACTTACTTGTCTCTGACAGAGTAAGCACTGGCTCTATTACATTTATTTTATTTGAAAATTACCCCTCCCCCTCCAGTGGCACAGCGGTATGTCTGCGGAGTTATAATGCTAGAAACCGGGTTTCGATACCCGTGATGGGCAGAGCACGGATAACCCAATGTGTAGCCTTGTGCTTAACTACAAACAAACAAACAAACAGTTATTTGAAAAACCCTAGACAGTTTAAGAAAAGCAGCCAATCTCCTTCGAAATAACTCCAATGGAAATGTACAAGGTGGTTGTCATATTAGAACTGTCACTCAGCAACCTTTAACAAGAGGAAAAAAATGCGAAAGATCAAGTAAAATGGTGTCAAGAACAATTGGATCGAATATCTAAAGAAGAATGTAATTTGATCAAATTAATCATCATCACTTTTTCCATCAAATGGCATGTTTTTGCATGGTGAAAAACAAAAGAAGCTTATAACTCTGAATATATGTGCTATCAGTTAATCACGATGGAGGTCCTATGATGGCATTGGTAGTTTTTGTTGGAATAGCTTAGGGCCTTTAATCTCACTGAAAGATGAAAAGACAGTAAATGATCACTTAAACCTTATTGCAGACCAGATTCACGCTATAATGGACACTTTATTTCAAAATGGAACTGGTCTGATTCGGAAAAACAATACACCAATTGATACTGCTGAAATGATTAAAGACTGGACCAAAGTTTGTTTGTAGTTAAGCGCAAAGCTACACAATGGAATATCTTTTCTCTGCATACCACGGGTACCGAAACTCGATTTCTAGCGTTGTAAGTTCGCAGACATACCGCTGTGCCATTGGATCAAAGAACGTGAGGAAGAGCTTGGACGCCTAACTTGGTCACCACAGTCATCAAATTTAAACGTTATCGAGCCTTTATGGTCAGTTCTGGAAACCCATAATAAAAAAGATTTTCCTCACTAACATCAACTCAACATTAGAAAAAATTACAAAAATAACGTTGCCTGATACACAATGCCCTATTGCACTTGAAGTTAATGCTACAAACTATCCAATCGTGGTGGACTAGCTCCACATTGTTAAGTACAATGCAGAAATTAACAGGTATCCCGATATAATCCACGGTGCTGCTTATAGGACTACAAGGATTCGTGCTACATTTGGGAATTTGTGATAAATAGTTGTGAAAAGAAAGGATCTTACTTGGATTTCAGCTCTTCGTTATAATTGAATCTATAAAAGATGTGTAAATGAAACTTGGAAGCTCTAATCCAGAGGACTTCTCTCAAATCTGAAATTATCCAAAGATTTGTCAAATACAAACCTCCGTTGATATGAAGTACAGAACATCATATCATTATATCTTATTATTGAGGTGAATGTTTGATTGTTTGATTCAAAATCCTTGAATATTCTTCATACAATAGTTTATCAGTTGGTATTCGAAACATAGAGTTACGTTTATCTAATGGGATAGATATTGTTGAGAAATGTGTATTATAACTTTCTATTGAAGAAACATTGCAGCTAAATCATTATATTAATTTAGAAACAATATCAAACTGACTGTGAAAAGGATGAAATGCACATGAATTGTGTAATTAAACTTTAAGTTTTTAAGGACACCGAGGACGTTAGAAAATGAGTAATTGTTTTTGTTTTCAAGATGATAACTAGTTAAATCTTAGTGGTCCGATTTATATCAAAACTCCAATAAAAGTAAATTAGTAATTGAATCTAAAGTGTTCACTTGTGAGAGGCATGAAGGGGGGAAGGAAGAAAGGATCTTGTTAGAGACTCCTAGAGTTCAAGTATGGCCGTCGCTAAGTTTGAACTAATGATCAGAGAAAATACAGCCAACCAGCAGAACCTTCCGTCGCCAAGTTTTAACTGAGTAACTAAGAATGACTGTCACCGTAATATTGCACCCATGACTGTAAATGCAGAATAGCGCTGCGGACTTTGGACTTTCCGATACGCAGCCTGGCAAGCTAACCACTATGCAGCGCCTCGATGTAAAAATGATCTAATCACAAATTTAGATGCTTGATGCACTCGTTTTTAGTTAATTAGAAACGCATGGTCGAATGAACTTAAAAGTTTAAGCAAGCAAAGAAAAGTGTAATGGCTCTGATTATAGAATGTCATACCAAAAAAAATAAGGGTAGCAGCGACAAAGAAAATAAAAAATGTTACACAGTTAGTGATTTTTGAATTTGGTTGAGGAAATAAATAGTATTCCAGATGATTTTGATAAAGAGGATAAAGATATGTATATATATATATATAGTATGTATAATAAGTTAATTAATAAATCATAATAAGAAGTATTATTATTATCATAATAAGAAATATTGGATTTAAATAATTAATAATTCCAACTCTGAATCAATTTATGGAACAATCTACTTATGAAGGTTTAGAGATCAGTCAAGATAAAGGAAGAAATATATAAAAATATAACGGTTTGGTATTGGTGATTGAAAACTTATAAACACGTGAGAGAAGTTTAACACCTGTCAAAACACAGATTCCCCTTCCTCCAGTTATTGAGTCCCACTGTAGCACATTTCTCTGTAAACAGGCTAGGTAGTGTGGCACTGTCCCTAATTCCGAACCACCGACAACTGGCAGCAATCATTTTACTTTTTACTTCGTTATTATTAATACTGTGTATTTCTGTTTTTTTTTATTACAATCAAATGAATATAAGATGCATGATATAAATGTAGTGTTCGATTTACTTGAGGGGAGATTAAAGATGAACAAGGAATTTGAGAAATTAATCAGAGAAACTTAATATCAATTTGTATTGATTGTTGTAAGAAATAGAACTTGTTTGACCTTCTGTAAAAATAGGCCGAGAAAAAAAACCTTTATGTAATAAGAATCGGGCTCAAGCTAAGCTGACATAGCATTGTAAGTCCGTAGACTTACCGCTGTCCCACCGGGGATGGAAATATCACAGAAACTTAAGAAAAATGTGGTATCCAAGTAATAACTGTTGATAACGGGAGGAACGGAAAGAAATGTATTGAAGAATTAAAATGAATTTCTGAATTGCCATTGTTGAATTAAAGAGAACAGATATTTTATAAGCAATTTCAAAATCAAAATTTATTTCCAACCAAACAAATCAAAATTCACGAGTGCACCGAACGATTGACAGCGTTCACTAGCTAATAGAGACTTGTGAATTTTTCGTCTACTCTGGAGATATTCTGTCTCAAGACTGAAAGAAGTAACCGCTATATATTTGATCGAATAGGGTCAATTCTTACAGATAGCATATTACCGATGTCATTGGTTATCCCATAGATGAGAACAGAGCGAACGTAGTCTCCAGTCACTTATAAACTTAAACAAAGCATTTTCATTATATCTATAGAGAAAGCGGATGCAAGGCCAAAGACAGGCTTCCAACAACATCGATGGTCCATGAGAAAGTAAAGAAAATAAACAACTTAGTGGAATACGAGTCCAGACAAAAGTTGGGCTTTCTACGCAAGGAAGGTTATAGATGCATTCTAAAGTATGTTTAATTGAAAATCTTTGAAACTTTAAGGAATTGAGGGAAAAATACTTTAGAGATTTATAAAGATGGAAGGAGAGAATTAGATATTTTTAAAAAAGTGCAACATGTGATTTGAATGTTAAACTGCCTGTCAAAATGGTAGAGAAAACATACACCAGAATATATCAGAATGAGGAATTAATGAAGGAAAATGAATAATATATTTTCCATTTTAGATATTGAAGTATTAAAGAATATATTTACATACATCTAAAATAACAAAAAGTCATCGTGTTATATAGACTTAAATACAATTTAAAATGTATGAATACTTGATATGTAATTATGGTTAGTTATATTAAACAAAGGCAACAAAAAAAAACAACAATGTTCTCCATTAAAACACAAATAAGAATACCTTACTGATATGTTTCTACTACAACTAAGATAAGCATCAGTCGTCGAGCTGTTTGAAACTTGGACGAAGAGAAAAAACACAAAAATTCATGGTTAAGTCATTCTCAATATATTCTATGACCACTCTTGTGCAAATATTTCATTAAATGAGTTAAAACATTCAACGCTTAAAAATGCACAATATTTTATTATATGATTTAAAAGTAAAATATACAATTGAAAACTCTAAATGTTTCGGTAGAAAAGCTTCACCAACTTCAGGAAGCCTTCTGATCTCTTGAAGATGGTGGAACGTTTTATACTGAACCATGTAGAGTTTTTAGTTATATATTTTATTTTTAATTTATACAATCAATTATTATACATTTCTAAACGTTGAATGTTTTTACTTCTTTTATAAGTCATTTGCATTCAAAGAACGATTGTCAGCAAAGGATGATATATTTTTCATAAGATGTAAAGTACGCAAAAGAAAAAATATGTATGGAGTAATTAGTGTGTATTTTCTGTTAGTGCCAAGACAAATACAACAGGTAGTAACACGCATTTCTCACCAGAACCATAACCAATATAGCAAGTAGTAACACTCATTTTTTACTAGAACTAAGACAAATACAGCTGGTAGTAATATGCATTTCTCACCAGGACCTAGACAATGCAGGTTAAGATTTGTATGTATTTTCAGCAATACAAAAACTCATATTTGCTTTCCACATTATTCTGATAAACATTAATGTCCTTACTTAGAACATCATATCAGAGCAAACCTAATAAGATTGATCACTTTTAGTGAAACCCCTTATACAGAAACGAATGTAGTCAGTAGTTATTTGAATACATAATATCGTGAGTTACTTGCGAATTAATAACGCTATTAGTGTTCACAAAACCATAACAACAAATTCAATCCATGTGTTTAACATGATCCTAATCCTAGGGAATGATGCAATGGTAACGAAACAGAAATATAAACTTAATGTTACTGATAACTTCAAAAGAAAAGGATGTGCTGATAAACATGGCGGTGTTTAACTCCAGAAGAGAAAAAGTCTTTCCAGTAAAAATTCACGGATGAATTAACCTCACTGGCTTTCATTGTCTCATTTTCTTACATAGTTCGAAATGCAGCAGTCTACATATTTGACATCCATATTATTCAGAGATATATATATATCTGACATCCATGTTATTCAGAGATATATACATATCTGACATCCATGTTATTCAGAGATATATACATATCTGACATCCATATTATTCAGAGATATATACATATCTGACATCCATGTTATTCAGAGATATATACATATCTGACATCCATGTTATTCAGAGATATAATAACTCTACTCGGAGAACCAACGCACATTTTTATATATATATACATTATTATATACCTTTTGTAACAAATATTTTTTTATAATGATATTTGATTTTCTAAATATATTTTTAATGTTTGTCAGCTTTGCTAGTTAGATATATGTAGCACTAATAAAGTCATTACTACAACTGTTTGTTTATACAGGCTGGACATGGCGTAGATGTAAAGGCCGAGGTTCGAGCCGCGATATACTACAAAACAAGTTACGTAGTTTCAGGTAATTTAGGAAGGAAGCTCGTTATAATCGTGACAATTAATTTCGCTATTCAGTTAAAGTAGCCGTATAGTCGGCGGATGTAGCTGACTGGTTATCTTCCCTTTGGTAAACTGTTTTCAGTCAAGGATGTTTATATTTTAACTGTGTGGTCTCTGACTTAGCCTTTTAGTCCATGTGTCGCAAAAGGTGCAAAAAAAAAAAAGGTTGAAAGTATCAATTATCAAACTACCACAAACTTTTTAATAATCAAATTATAATCATCAATCAAATAGCTGCATTCATTTATTTGTAGACAACCGTATTTATTATCTTCAATATTTGAGCATATGACATTTACACATACCTGTAGAATAAACTACGTCGATGGAAAGTAGAAAAATCTGATCTAGCACTATCCACACTGGAAAGAATCTGAATATGTATATATAACCTGTAATAACCCACAATATATGTAACAGAAAGATTAAACTACAACGTCATGAAACTTATGTAAATAATACATACAACTAGACCTACAGGTCTCGTTTAGTAACTGCTAATCTGCCACAGCATGTGTGACTGTTTATATAATATACTGATTCTCAAATAATCCTTAAGTCAAAAGGAATTGTCACAATGTTGGAAGATTCAAAGTTTCGATTAGCTTTGATTTTACAATATGGATTACATTTTATCTCGTTTAATTGATTTGTGTATTTATATATATTTGCGTGTGACTACTCTGATTTTTTTCTACAGAGTTCTATACATATATAAAAGCAAGTGTATAAACACAATACCCACGTCTATATTTAATCGTCAATCACTATTGTAGAGTTGGGGAACTCGGACATAACATCTATCTTGAGGTATCTTTCTTATTTTCTCTTCTGCATGAGTCTTTCTCGTTTTTTAACAAAACGAATTTAATTCTAAGCAAATCTTCTGACTCATATTAGTGACACTGATAATAGAAATACAATCTTGAAGCATCAGAGGGTCTGAAAACTTGACTACTCCAAGTTATTAGAGTTAATGATTTTTTTATAGTTCATACGTTTATAACAAATTTAATACATAAAATTTACACAAGTCTACACCACCTTTAGGTGTGCTAGACCTTAGACAAGTTCCGCGTAATATTCTAATTTTCTTCTTTAAAAGAACTTTGTTATCCTAAACTTGAAGCTTCTTAGAGTGAAGCAACAGTGATATATAGTATCACGTGAGTAATGACAATAAAGCGATATATATATACAATTTAATCTCGTATTTATCTAAAAACCTTGTTCTCTTCACGCTTTAGAATGAACAGTGCTTAGTTATTGTACAACTTATCACTGAAACTATGTGAAACATGTACTCTCTAAGAAATGTGTGTCACAAATCCGAAGTAACTTCGTGATCAGCTCGTCAGGAAGGAAAATTATTTATATACCAATTAAGTAAAGTGCTAACCTTTGACTTTGATTATGTTCTTTTATATATATATATATACAGTAAGTAATGTAGGTTATTGTTTATCTATTAAACACACAAGTGACATCTCTTGAGACCCATGCAATGCTGTCATCTGCATAAATAGGAACGTATAATGTTATATAAAATCTAAACAAATTCAATTAAATATTCGGTACTAATGTACGAGTAACAAAGCCTATAGCTTTTAAGAAAAGTGTATGCATAGTAAAGCGAAAGTACGAAAATATTAATGTTTTAAATTTATACAGAGAGTATTTTCAAAACACATAATCTATGCTAGAAATTCCTCTTATCAAGCTACTAATTAGAAAAGACAAAGACACGGTGAATAAAAAAATATTCGGACATTATTCTGAGTTAACACCATCTGAATGATAGTTAAGGCTTATTTAAATTTCTCTTATTTCGTAAACTGATTATTCTTTTCTCAAAATCTGATGATGAATATTTTTATTTCATATTGTAAAAACTATACTATTTAAAATATTGTATATCCAATAATTTCGTATGCCAATAGATGGCGATAGCTACACCATAAAGTGTCAAAGATAAATCAGCCTAGTTCGAAACTGCTCCATTCTAATACTACTAATTGGATCTGTTCTTAGTCGGTTCTGTTTACTAATAATCCAGTGATGTTTCTTATTACGTGAGAATTATTGGAAATCCTTTATAAACTTTGTCTTAAATATTATCTAGCTTCTTAACACATTGCAAAACTTTTGAACTAATGTATTGCGATAAAACTGTTGTTCTAATGCGTTAGTATAATATGTAAACTGTGTTAAAATAATAATAATAAGAAGAAAAAACGTCGAATATTTCTTATAGTCAATACTTGATATCTATATAATTGGAACGTTCCTATAAATATAACAAAGTATGTGACCTCCGATGTGCAGAATATAGAGGGCATTTTACGCACAACATTCTATATAAATATGACTATAAAAAGTGTGACTATTCTATACAAACATTATATTTGTTTCAGCATGGACTCTAGACAGAGATAACTATTTTCAAATATAAAAATACCCTTTCAAGATTACATAATAACGATATTTCAAAATAATCAGATCAATCGTGTCACTTACAATATATGGTGTTTTGTATTCTACAGGTTTAAATATAGAACATCTGTTTTAGAACCTGGTATTTCTCACTTCCATAAAAATATTAGAATCATTATGGATTAAACGTAGTATGAGCCACATTCAATTTCATTAACAAAAAGGAATAATATTAAGTGGAGGATGAAATAAGATATTTTCTATAATTTCATATCCTAATGTATAGGAAAGTATAACGTGAATAATAAATCATCTTTGGTTTCAATGCATGTAAATTAAAGATAATGATTTTTTTAAAAATCTGAATGAGCATGGAAAAAACATACTGGTCATTATAATTCTTATATTTAGAGAACCATAATTTCATTATGAATATGCGAGGGTTCAATGACCTCTAAT